AATCGCTGATAGAGCGTATCCGCCAAGGAGAGCTGAAGGCAGTCGAGGAGGAGCACACTGTGCTGCTGGGGTGGAGTGAGTGCACCCCTCGGCTGGTCTGCCAGCTTGCCTTCTTGAGGCGACAGTTCCAGCAGATGAACGAGCCTTGGGACCGGCGGCTATGCTGGTGGCGACGTGTGAAAGCCTCCACCTCCGCTGCACAGCGACCGATCATCGTCATGTGCAACACTCTCACCAAAGAGGAGATGGAGAACGCCATCGCGCACGCGTTCCAGGAGCGGGGCATCTGCGCGCTCCGCACCAGACTGGGCTGCGACGTCGTGTGCCGTGTGGGGGACCCCAGGTGTGTTAGGATGCAACTCCTGGGATGTTACATTCAGCATCGGCGCTGGTATGTTCGTGCTCGAGATCCGCCCCACTCCATCTTACTCCCGCTTGATCCGCTTTAGCCCTGCTTGATCCACCTTGGTCCGGCTCAACTCCGGGCTTGATCGACCGAAATCCTCCTCCATGGCCCCTCGATCGGGCCTAATAGCTTTTCCTCGTTCCCACGAAGGCCCACGCGGAACCGCCTCCCGAGGTCTGTGGTGGACCTGCGGCGGGTTTGCGTGCAGCAGGCGCACGCGGTCGTCGTCCAGGCCGGGGAGGGGGCGGACACCGAGAAGTCGACGGGCGCGTCCATACGAACCCTGATGGCCCTGCGCTTCGCGCTCTACACGTGCCAGGCGGCGCCCGCGTGGGACGACCTGCGCATCGTCGTGGAGATGAACCAGCCGAGCAAGGTGCAGCCCAGCGCTCCGACCACATGCTTCTCCCAGTCCGGCGTATCTCTCTGACTTCGGCCTCCAGGGGCCGCTGTCGGGCCCTGGCCCCATCAAAGACAGGGATCCAGAGCGGGAGAGCTGGCCTCGGGAAGGGCTCGGGGCCTCGAGGGCTGCGCAGTGCCACTCGGTTGCTCCGGAGGCGCCGGCTGCGCGAGCTGGTCCACCGACCCCTCATTTGCTGCCCCCCCCCCTCCCCCCCTTCGTCGAGCGCGACAAGAAGGGGCATGTGCGCCCAAACCCTTCCGAAGGTCCGAGCGGAGCCCCCGACCTCTCGTGCCGATGCTGTCTTGCGGCTCCCTCGGCTCGGCCGGCCCGGGAGGTGGTGTCCGCGGCCGCGTTCGACGCGCCGGGCGGCGGCACGGTCGTCCACCCCCTGGACCTGAGCGTCTTCCTGGACAGCCTGCTCTTCGCCTGCCTCGGGCAGCCGGGGCTGGCCCAGACGCAGATGGAGCTGATGAGCTTCGAGAGCGCCGCCATCAAGTTTCGGAAGGCGGGGCCCACGCCGACGCGATATCGATGCGCTCCGAGGCGCTAAGGGCCGAGGCCCGAGAGGTCGAGGTCGGCTCGGGGAGGGTGCCCCAGTGTTCTCCGTGCCCGTTTTGGGTGTGCTTGTGCATCCTGGGGGAGGGTGCCCTTGGATGTCCGGTTTGTCTTGGCCGGCGGAGGGTCTCGTGTTCTTGGGGGATGTTCTTCTGGCTTGGGTCCGACAGCATGATGTCGGCGTCACCGAGGGGCGACGCGCGCACCGAGAAATCTTATGGTATGTGCAACGTGGCGGGCGCTTTCTGGCCACACCGCTCGGGAGACAATCTGCTACAAGATGGGTCTACTATATGTTCGGGTCGGACGCGCGCCTCCAAGGAGGACATTAGTATTAGTATGTCTCTGTGCGTCCCATGATGGATTCCGGCCGGAGCGATCACCTGCGATTCATTCCCATGCCCCGGCTGTGCGGTGCGGCTGGGAGCCTGCACGGCGCCCTGCAATGCATCCTGCCGCAGCTGGTCCGATTCGATCTCGATTCCGTGCCAGGGCGGCCCGATCCGACGCACACTTCTCAGGAGCAACGATAGAGGGGGATAGGCATAGGGGGGATGCATCAACCCCCCATCGCCCATTGATCGCCGATAGGGGCCCGATAGCCCCGACCTGCCCAGGAAGGTAAGGACTCACGATCTGGGGCCTGTCGCCGGTCTGTCGGCGACGTATCGCCGATTGCAGGTCGATGCGTCCCCCCCTGTGGCAGTCCCCCCCTATCGTTGCCCCTCAACTTCGTCTCGATCCGATTTGCTGATTCGATGTTGGCTTAGCCTGTCCAGGCCGCTGACCTGAACGTGGCCCACCGCAAGGCTCGGGGGCCACGTCGGGGGGTAACGCGGCTCAGGGGTTGGGAGCCTGGATCAGCACACGACCGTATTTCGCCCCAGGCAGCATTTTTTTGGTCCTCGACGGCGGTACGCACGGTTGAGGCTCAGCGTCGGCGCCGTTGCGAGAGGGTCGCCAGGCACAAGAACCTGGAGGGTGACAGAGGGTTTTGGTCTTCCTGTTTCTTTTGTTGCTGGTGCACCCCTTTCGCCTGCCGTCCACTGGGGTGTCGCGGCGTGCACCAGAAACGGTTGCCTCATGTCCGTTTTGGTGTGCATCTGTTTGCTTACTGGGCTATCGAAGGGGAAGCATCCTCCTCCTCCTCCTCCTCCTCCTCCTCCTCCTCCTCCTCCTCGTCGCCCGGGCGGGATGTCTGCCTTGGTGTACCTCTGTTTGGTTACCGGGCCCCTGCGAGTCCCCTAAAATCGGGAGCCTCGAGACGGGGGTCAATGCAAACGGGGGTCAGCCAGGGCACCGGATCTTGCAGGATCCTGCGAAGACCCCCTCTGGCTGACCCGGGTTAGCGAGCCGCTCGTGGCCTCGAGGCGGCCGCGCGTGTTGGCTGACCCGGGTTTGCGAAGACCTGCGTCGCAGTTTTTTTTCTTGCACTGCAGTTTTTGGGTTCCTGCTGACCCGGGTCTGGATTGACCCGGGTCAGAAGATCCCCGGGTCTGGATTGACCCGGGTTTGGATTGACCCGGGTGTGCATGTGTTTGCTTACTGGGCCATCGAAGGGGAAGCATCCTCCTCCTCCTCCTCCTCCTCCTCCTCCTCCTCCTCGCCCGGGCGGGGGGGGGGGGGCATCCAGGCTCCAGATGGAGGGGCGCTGTGGGGCCGATGTCCCCTAAACAGGGTTGCCCGACGTCTGCCTCGGTGTACCTCTGTTTGGCTACCAGGCCCCCGCGAGGCCCCTAAAGAGAGGGGAAGGGCATCGACCGCCGGGCCGCTCGCTCCTCGCCGGCCGAGGCCGGGGTGCCCCATCCTGCCGCGGGCCCCCGCGCGGCCTTGCCAGCCATCGCGGGGGCCCGCCGCCGACCCGCCAGCGGCGTGCCGCCGTGCGGTCCTCCTCGGGAGCCCGGCGTAGGGTTCAGTCGGGCCATTCCCTCGACAGGGAGGGATATTCAACAATCGTACAAAAATAGCCTGGGGACGATTTGTTGGTTACTGTTGGAATATTTGTGAGTATTTTTGTGGACTTAAAAAAAATCGTCCAAAATGCGCCTGTAGGGGGACATGCCCGACCTAAGCGTAGGGCCCCAGAATCTGCCTTGCGGCTTTCGGGGGGTGGCGTCGGGTGTGGTCGACCCGTCGGCGAGTACAATGGAGACCCCTGCCAAGAAGCACCCTGCTCGCTTCCAGGGTGCCCTGGGTTTCTCTTGGGTTTCGATGGTCTTGCGACGGGGACCGCGACGTTCCCACACCGGAAGCCAGTGGACGTCCTGGGGTCTCAGCGTTGGGTTTCTTGTGGAAGGTTTCTTGTGGATTGGCCTCCACTGTAATCTGGACGACCTCTGGGCGGAATCTGGATGAAAGGGGGCGGAGGGTGGGCGAGGTCTGGACGAAGTCTCGTCTACGATGGGGCCGCGGAGGTCCGCAGAGGCTCCCAGGAGGGAGGGCTCACCAAGCGCCGATGCCAGGACAACGCCCCCCCCCCACCCCACCCTCTGGGCCAGTCCGCCCTTCGCTCGTTCTCCCTCGGAGGCTCGGGCGGGGCTAGGACGAGGACAGACCCTTTCCGGATCGTTTCGGAACGCTCCTGCGAGGTCAAGTTCTGACTCTGCCCTGGTCCGAAATCCGGCTCCATCCGGCTTGATCCCGCTTCATCCGGCGCAGTCCTGCTTGATCCGGCTCGATCCCGCTCAATCTGGTTAGATCCCGCTTAATCCGCGGCCTAATCTGGCGTAGTAGCCTCCCCCTCCTCCACCTCCCCCTCCTCTCGCCTCCTCCTCCTCCTCCATCCTCCTCCTCTCCTCCTCCTCCTCCTGGCCTCCTCCTCCTCCTTTCTCCGCCTCTCTCTTCTTCTTTCTCATCCTCCTCCTCCTCCTCCTCCTCACTCTCCTCCTCCTCCTCCTTCCTCCTCCTCCTCCTCCTCACCCTCCTCCCTCCCCTCCTCCCCTCTCCTCTCCTCCCTCCTCCTCCCTCTCCCCTCCTCCTCCTCCTCCTCCTCCCTCCTCCTACCCCTTTTCCTCCTCCTTTCTCCTCCTCCCCTCCTCCCCCCCCCTCCTCCTCACCTCCTTCCTGCCTCTCCTCCTCCTCCTCTCCCTCCTCGCCTCCTCCTCCTCCTCGTCGGGTCGCCTACGGCCCCGGGGGAAACCGTGCCCCTCCTGGCTTGGGCTGAGAGGTGTCCGAGGCCACGATGCTTTGGGAGGACGCGGTCTTCGTCGGCGTGCAGGCCCGCGAGGCCAAGCTCGCCGCCGCGCGGGGCGAGGGGGTCGAGAGCGGCCTGCTTCCGGGGGCCAGCTACGAGATACAGCCGGACGACACGGTGATCGGCGTCGCCCAAACATCATGCCGATCTCGGTGATCGTTTTTTATCCGTGTTTCGCCGATCGGCACGGGCCCCCCCCTCCCCCCCCCTCCCCCCTTCTGGAGTAGATCTTGGCTGTCTTTTGGCGCCTGTTTCGAGCGGGTGGAGCCCCTCCCCCAGAGGACGCACTGTCGCAAACAGTCGCACTGAGCAGAGGTCTGAAGCCAGACCCCCCACCTCCCCCCCCCCTTCCGCCCAATGTCGAAACGCCGAGTCAGAAAGCGCTGACCTGTACGAGTGGGAGACCCAACACTGAGGCTGTCGTCGAGCCTACGAGCGGATACGCCGAAGGCTCGTAGATCCCTGCGGAGCGTCCTGCGTATTCTTCCGCAGGCTCGACGAAGACCTCAGCTTTGGGGTGCATCAGCTATGCGGTCGCTCTCCTACTCGAGCTGTGTGTGTGTGTGTGTGTGTGTGTACGTCGACCCCAAAAACGGGTGACGCGCGCGCTCAGAAGTCTTCTGGCCTGTGCTCCGTGGCCGCCGGCGCTTCCTGGCCGTGCCGCTCGGGGCACGGTGTGTCTCACCACCTAGCAGACCACCCCAACCCAACCCGAAGGCCTCCTCAGTGTGCCCTCCTTTCCCAGTGGAGGGGGGGGTCGGGGAACATTGAAGCAACTTTTTGGTCTGCGGGTCGAGAGCGGGCCTCTTCCGCTTAAGAGCTAGGCGGGCCGCGCAAAGCACTAACTGGGGAGACAGGGCGCGGGCGGGCGGGGCCTCAGGCGGCAACACTGAAAAAACACGTGGGACCTGTACCTGGAAGGTTTCTCCGAAGGGCTTAGGCGACCCGTGCTCCTCCTCCTCCTCCTCCTCCTCCTCCTCCTTCTCCTCCTCCTCCTCCTCCTCCTCCTCCTCCTCCTCCGTCTCCTCCTCCTCATCGTCCTCCTCCTCATCGTCCTCCTCCTCCTCCTCCTCCTCCTCCTCCTCCGCCTCCTCCTCCTCCTCCTCCTCCTCCTCCTCCTCGGGTCGCCTACGGCCCCGGGGGAAACCGTGCACCTGTACCCCCCCCCCAACCCGACATCCGGGTCAACTTCGGGCCTCTTCGGGTTGGGCTGGGGTGGTCTGGTGGGCGGCCGGTGCCGCAGCATGGCTGTGCCGCATGCGCTCGGGTCGGCCGCGCGCCTCCGAGGAGGACGCACCGGGGATCCTTTCCTTAGCCACTGTTTTGCAGATCGGCGCGGGCTCTCGCACCCCCGCCCTCCCTCCTCCCTCCTCCCCTCCCCCTCCCTCCTCCTCCCTCTCCTCCTCCTCCTCCTCCTCCTCCTCCTCCTCCTCCTCCTCCTCCTCCTCCTCCTCCACCCTCCCCCTCCTCCTCCTCCTCCTCCTCACCTCCCTCCCTGCTCCTCCTCCTCGTACTCCTCCTCCTACTCCTCCTCCTCCTCCTCCTCCTCCTCCTCCCCCTCCTCCTCTTCCCCTCCTTCTCCTCCTCCTCCTCCTCCTCCTCCTCCTCTTCCTCATCCTCTTCCTAGTCCTCTTTCTCTTCCTCCTCCTCGGATTGGCGGAACGGATCGGCGGCGAGCAAAGAGGGGGGAATGAGACGGAGAAGGCCTCCTCAGAAGGCAGTCGGACTTTTCTCAGAAGCCCTCGCGCCTTCGAGGGGTTCTCTGTGTCTTCGGGGAAGGCTCAGAAGCCTCTCGAAGGCCGGGGGGGACTTCGGACCTTCCGAGAAGGCCTTCTCCTGCTCGTTTCCCCCCCCCGCGCTCGCCGCCAATTGGAGTCGCTCTTGGCTGTTTGTTGGCGCCTGTTGCACGCCGGTGGAGTCCCCCCCGCAGGACGCACTGCTGCAAACCGTCGCATCCTGCATATTGTCAGGAGCCGGACCCTCCCCCCCGCTTCCTGCCCCCCTTCCGCCCAGTGACGAAGAACGCCGCAGCAGACAACGTGCACCAGTGCTGGTGTGTCCTTGTTAGGGAAACGAGCTCTATACACCGACGCTTTTCCGACCCTGCGCTGAAATTCGCACAGGAACGCGGATCTTGGTGTATACGGGATCCTGGTAAACACACTTTTCGTGGCTTCCCTTGGAAACCGGAGGAAAAGTACACACCACGCCACCCCGACGTCCTCCCCGACCCTCAAAAAGTTGTGTGGGATTGAAAAAACAACCCGCCACTGGTAATGCATATGTTCCAGTTTCCGACTTGTACCATATGTTCGTCGCCCCCCCAGGGGCGACGCGCGCACCGAGAAATCTTATGGTATGTGCAACGTGGCGGGCGCTTTCTGGCCACACCGCTCGGGAGACAATCTACTACAAGATGGGTCTGCTATATGTTCGGGGCGGACGCGCGCCTCCACGGAGGACATACAGTATTAGTATATCTCTGGGCGTCCCACGATGGATTCCGGCCGGAGCGATCCCCTGCGATTCATTCCCATGCCCCGGCTGTGCGGTGCGGCTGGGTGCCTGCACGGCGCCCTGCAATGCATCCTGCCGCAGCTGGTCCGGTTCGATCTCGATTCCGTGCCAGGGCGGCCCGATCCGACGCACACTTCTCAGGAGCAACGATAGAGGGGGATAGGCATAGGGGGGATGCATCAATCCCCAATCGCCCACTGATCGCCGATAGGGGCCCGATAGCCCCGACCTGCCCAGGAAGGTAAGGACTCACGATCTGGGGCCTATCGCCGGTCTGTCGGCGATGTATCGCCGATTGCAGGTCGATGCGTCCCCCCCTGTGCCAGTCCCCCCCCCCCCTATCGTTGCCCCTCACCATGGCGTCTCATGCTCGGCCCCCGGCTCCTGTCCATGGCGTACCTTGTCCTGTGCAAGATCTTCGGCACCGCCTGTATTCCGCACCCTCCGGCCGCCTGAGGCCCCGCCCGCCCGCGCCCTGTCTCCCCAATTAGGGCTTCGCGCGCCCCGCCTGGCTCTTGACCGGAAGGGGCCCGCTCCCGACCCGCCGACCAAAAAAGTGCGCCCCATGCTCCAGTGCTGGTGTGCCCTTGTGCGGTCCGATTCGATGTCGATTCCGTGCCAGGGCGATTTCGTCTCGATCCGATTTGCTGACTCGATGTTGGCTTAGCCTATCCAGGCCGCTGACCTGCACTTGTGCAGGAGGCAAGAGAGAGAGAAAGAGAGAGAGAGAGAGAGAGGGCAGGTCCCCCATCAACCCCCGATCGCCCATAGAGGGGGCTAGGCATAGGGGGGATGCATCAACCCCCAATCGCTCCAGTGCTGGCGTGCCCTTGTGCCTCCCAGGTGCTGTTCCTGTGCAGGTCCTCCATGCCCACGCCCGCGGCCCGCCGGGCCGAGGCCGCCGGGGGCGCCCGGCCGCGGAGGGGGACGGCCGCGCGGGCCCTCGGGGGGGCTCGGGCCCTCGAGGGTCCTCCTCCTCCTCCTCCTCCTCCTCCTCCTCCTCCTCCTCCTCCTCCTCCTCCTCCTCCTCCTCCCCCCTCCCCTCCTCCTCCTCCTCCCCCTCCTCCCTCCTCCTCCTCCTCCTCCTCCTCCTCCTCCTCCGCCTCCTCCTCGGGCCCTCGAGGGTCCTCCTCCTCCTCCTCCTCCTCCTCCCCTCCTCCTCCTCCTCCCCCATCTCCTCCTCCTCCTCCTCCTCCTCTCCTCTCCTCCTCTTCCTCCTCCTCCTCCTCCCCTCCTCCTCCTCCCCTCCTCCCCTCCTCCTCTCCCTCCTCCTCCTCCTCCTCCTCCTCCTCCTCCTCCTCCTCCTACCTCCCTCCTCCTCCTCCTCCTCTCCTCCTCCTCCTCCTCCTCTCCTCCTCCTCCTCCCCTCCTCCTTCTCCTCCTCTTTCCTCCTTTTCCTCCTCCTCCTCCTCCTCCTCCTCCTCCTCCTCCTCCTCTCCTCCCCTCCTCCTCTCCCTCCTCCTCCTCCTCCTCCTCCTCCTCCTCCTCCTTTTCCTCCTCCTCCTCCTCCTCCTCCTCCTCCTTGGACGAAAAATTAAAAATACCCCCAACATGTTCCGAAAATGCTCGAACGTACTCCAACAAACTGGTCCCCAGGTTATTTTTGGACGATTTTCGCATATTCCTCCTGTAGAAGGACAGGCCCGACTTAACGTTTGCGCTCTGGCTCCCTGGGCCCTCTCCACGGGCCCCGGGATACCTGCCGTGGGCGGCGGAAGCCGAAACCGACCCCCCAAAAGTCGGGCACGTCCCTGTGCAGGAGGAATATCCAGAACTGATGAATGAAATAGTCTGGGGACGATCTGTCCGACTCTTTGGGGCTATGTTTGAGCATTGTTTGATTCTTCCTTATGTTTCGTCCAACGCCCCCCTGTAGGAGGACATGCCCGACCTAACCCTGCCCTCGCCGAGCAACGAGCCAGGCAACCCGACGGGCGGCGGGGGTAGGGCTCGGAATGCCTCGAGCGTGGCGCCATCCGAGCCCTGCGTGCCCCCCCGCCGCCCTTCGACTCGGGATCATCGATGGTCGGTGGGGGCAGGGATTCGGGTGTCGGGGGCGGCCAAGAGGTGGGTGATGACTGGGGGGGGGATATCATGGCGGGGGCCATGATATCTCCCCCGATTTCATGGCATACGTTCCCTGGCCCCCCGCCCCTTGTCCGCGCACATGCCGCCGGCCATGATTTGCGCCCCCCCCCTTTCGGACGCCCCCCTCCTGGCGGCCCCCGAGGATGTCGCCAACCACTGTAACAACCCAGGATGCCGACCTGGTCCTGCGGGCAGGCCCCGGGGTCCAGTGCCCCTTTCCCTCAGGGCTCGCTCCACTCATGGTAAGACGCCAAAGCGGGGCGCATCGGGGCCGCCCGGATGGGATCGGAGCAGGTGGGGTCGGTGGATCGCGCCGCATCGCCGATGCGTCGGCGATGCGGCTCGATGCAGGGTCCGATCTACTCCTCGCCGACGTCGCCAATGCATCGCCGACTTTGCCGATGCATCGCCGACTTTGCCGATGCATCGCCGGTGCATCGGCGATTCATCGGCGATGCGGCGCGATGCTCCGACCCCATCTACTCGGACCCCATCCGGGCGGCCTCCAGGGGTTCAGCGCCCCAATCCCTCTGGCGGGCCCAGGCTTGGGAGCAACGTGGAGCCGCCCCCCCCCCTCCCCGCGCTCCGCGGGGCCTGGGCGTATCCGTGGCCGGGCCTGGTCCGTGACATGACCCCTGGCCGACCTGGGTTGCCTTCAGATCCGACGGCGCGAACAAATTGCAGCATCGTGGGGTTTCGCGGCCGGAGCCCGAGACCACTGTCCCGGGCCGAATCGATCCGTGAGGGCCGCGGGGCCCCGAATCTTTGAGACCGTCGGGCGTCATGATTTTCCCCGACCTTCCGGAGGGGTTCCGTTGTGTGTCCCGGAGTGCTAATGGTGTGCCGTTTAGGGGTTGACATGGGTTCTTGGGAAGAATCATCCTGGGGATAGTCCATCTGCAGCAATGATATTCTGAACGGGCGGCTTCATATCAAATAGTTTTATATCTGAGTAGACGGTGTGAACCGCTTACGGTTCCTGTGTGAAGCGTATGCGAATCCAATGAGTCTCGTATCCGATTCCACTGTGAATCGTATCCGGTTCCTATGTAGTTCGCATGCGCATCTGGTGCGACATGTATACGAGCCCGATATGAGTCGTATTCGATTTCAACGGATCGTAGACGGCTCTTCTGTGAAACGTGCATGAATGCTATTGGAGTCGTGGGCGAGTCCTACGTAACACGTGTACGTTTCCAATCAGAATATTATACACATGCGTGTGAATCGTATACAATTCCAACGCGTATCGTATACGGTTCCTGTGTAAAGGGTACACGGCTCCGATGTGAATCGCGTACGATTCCGATGTGGGCTGGAGACGACCGCTATGTCAATCGCAAACTACTCTTGTGTGAATCATGAACGATTTGAGTTTGAATCGCAAGCGTGATCCTATGTGAAGCGGGTGCGACTCCTACGTGAAACGTATACGCCTATCTGACTCGTCTATGGATCTTATGTGCATCACATGCGTGCACGACCCCTATGTGAATCGTGAGCGGTTCTTTTATCAATCTTATGTGGCTCCTATGTGACTCGTACACGCGTGCTATGTGAACTGTATACGGTTCCTATGTGAACCATACACGGTTCAAGTGTGAATCCTATACAGACCCAAGTGAACCGTATTTTGGCCTTACGTGTATCGTATATGACTCCTGCGTGAATCACAGACGATTCCAATGCGAGTCGTATACGAATCGTGTGTGAATCGTATACGACTTCATGGGGGCCTTTCGCGATTCCTATGTGAACCGTTAACGGTTCCTGGGCGAATCGTGTACGGATCCAATGTGACTCGTGCACGGTTCCTATGTGAATCATCTACGATCCCTATATGAAGCGTATACGATAAAGAAACCGGAGGGAATCCCCCAGACCCCTAAGGGGTCCTAGGGAATCCGACGTAGCCGTTAAAAGCCCGCAGGATTCTTAAGGAACCTCTACGGATCGTCATGGATTCTAAGGAACGGGCCGAACTGGAATCCAGAGGGAATCCTCGGGAAACCTGTGGAATCCTGAAACGGATTCCAAGGAACCCTGAAGGAATCCCAGAGAGCCCTGAGGAACCTGAATGGAAACTACGACGCCCTCAGGAACGCTAAAAGAACCCGTGGGCCGCTGAGGTCCCCGGAGCCCGAAAGCTGCGAAACACCTCCAGGATCCGTTTCCCTCAGGACCGCTTTCCCTCGAATCCGAAGTGTTTTCGGCTCCCTCTAGCTCCGTTTCCTCCTCCCTTTCCTACCCCTCATCTTACACGTGTGTGCATCTCTCTCTCTCTCTCTCTCTCTCTCTCTCTATATATATATATATATATCGCCCCCCCCTCTTCCTCCTCCTCCTCCTCCTCCCTCCCTCCCTCCCTCCCTCCCTACCTCCCTCCTCCTCCTCTTCCTCCTTCTCATGGCCCTCCTCCTCCTCCTCCTCCTCCTCCTCCTTCCTTCTCATCATTACCATCACCATCAGCATCACCATCATCATCATCATCATCATCATCATCACCATCACCATCATCATCATCATCGTCATCATCATCATAGTCGTCGTCGTCCTCCTCCTCCTCATCATCATTATCAACATCATCGTCATCGTCACCGTCATCATCACCGTTATTATTATCAACAGCATCATCATCACCATTATCATCATTACCATCATCATCATCATCATCATCATCATCATCATCATCATCTTAAACAGCATAATCCTCATCATCATCGCCCCCGTCGTCATCATCATCATCAGCACCATCATCAGACAACTAATCATCAACAACAGCATCATCATCATAATCATCATCATCGTCATCATCATCATCATCATCATCGTTATCATCGTCATCATCACCGTCGTCATCATCACCATCGTCATCACTACCACCATCATCATCACCATCATCATTATCATCATGATCAGCATCAGCATCATCACCATCATCACCATCATCATCATCATCACCATCATCATCATCATCATCATCATCATCATCATCACCATCATCCCTCGAGATTCGGCGTTTGGTGTTTGGGGTTTGGGGTTCGGGATTCGTCGTTTGGTATTTCGGGTTTGGGGTTTGCGGTTTGGTGTATGGGGTAAATGGTATGGTGTATTTTGGTGTTTGGGGTTTGGGGTTCGGGATTTGGTGTTTGGGGTTTGGTGTTTCGAGTTTGGTGTATGGCATGGTGTAATTTGTAATGTGTATGGTGCATGGTGTGTTTTTTGGGGGGGTCTGGTGTTTCGGGATTTGGTGTTTGGGGTTTGGTGTTTGGTGCTTTGTGGCTGGTGTTTGGTGTTTTGGGTCTGGTGTTTGGTGTTTTGGGTTTGGTGTTTGAGGGCGTGGGTGTCTGGTGGTGTTTGGTGTTTGGGGGGGTTTTGAAGACTCCAACCGGGGTGTGGCCCAACTTTGCCGGGTTATGGCCCGATGAACCAGGGTGCAGAAGCCTTGGGGGAGGGGTGCCCCTCCCACTCTGGCCCTGGACACCGGCGGGAGGTCGGCAGAAGCCAGCGGAAGACGGTGGAAGACGGCCACAATGTGCAGTTGCGGCCTCGGGTGCGCCGAGATGGCCAGAAGACTGTCCCGAGATGTTTCCAGACGGCCCAAGAGGCCTCTAAGACGCCACGCTATGCTCCCAGAGGACCTCCAGGAGGCCCAAAGTATGGACCTCCGGAGGTGTTTCAATGATCTTAGCGTTTTCGCTTTTTCGGGCCCATAGGTCCCAAGTCGGGCCCACTTCCGACGCTGAAAGTCGGGCCCAGAGGCCCCCGAGATCGCCCTGAGACGGTCAGAGAGCCGCAAGACGGCCCAAGTGTGCCCCACGAAGCCCAAGAGGCCCCTAAGACGGCCCCAAGACGGCCCACGACAGCCCAAGACGGCCCCGAGACGGCCCCGGGACGGACCCAGAGACATCCAAGACGGCCCTAAAGCGCCCAAATAAAGACCCACGACTGCCCAGGGAGGGCCCAAGACGGTCTCCGAAGCCAAGAGGCACCCAAGATGCCTCCAGGACGGCCCGCGAAGGCCCCAAGACAGCCCAAGAGGCCCCCAAGGCGGCCCCAGACACCTCCAAGACGGCCCTCAAGCGAGCCCCAAGATGGCCTCCGAAGGCGAAGAGAGCCCATAGAGGCCCCCAAGGAGGCCCCCAAGAGGTGACCAAGAGGCCCCACGACAGCCCAAGACGGCCCCAAGGCGACCCCAGAGACTTCCAAGACGGCCGTAAAGCGCCCGAATATCATCGGCCCCCTCAGATCGCCCCCGAGAGGCCCCCAAGAGGACCGTACGACGGCCCACGAGGGCCCGAAGGCAGTGCAAGAGGCCCCCAAGACGGCCCCAGACACTTCCGAGATGGCTCTCAAGCGAGCCCCACGACGGCCTCCGAAGGCGAAGGGGGCCCGTAGAGGCCTCCAGGAGGCCCCCAAGGAGGCCCCCAAGAGGTACCAGGATAGCCCCAAGAGGCCCCTCAGAGCCCCCCCAAACGCTCCCAGGAAGCCCCCAGGAGGTCTTAAGAGGCCTTCTTCTTCTCCTCCTTCCCCTCCCTCTCCTCCTCCTCCTCCTCCTGCTCCTTTCTCTTCCTCTCCCCAGTCCCCCAATGGATTCCACAATGGCTGGGGGAACACGTAGTCCAATAGTTTGGCCAGACTTCGGCCCAACGTTTGGCCGCACGGGCGTTTCCAAAAGGCAGGGTGCGGCGGTGATTTGCCGCAGGCGTCGTAGATGATTCAATCCTGCAGACTCAGGACAGCACTGCAGTGGACCTGAGGACGCTCCAACTCGTGCGTCGCGGCGCAGTGGTCGACGATACGCCCTGCTTCTTGGACGCCCGAAATGGGCACGGAAAGAATGGGTACAATGCCCAACAACAAATGCTGTCCCAAACCAACAGCGGCCGCTGTTGGGCAGGCGGCCCTCTGTTTCAAATGGACACGATCCGCGGCGACGCCGACAGCGAATCCTGTTCAAAACGAACAAGAACTGCTGTCGGCCTTTGTGCCCATTCTTTCAGTACCCGTGTCGGTCGTCCCAATGCTTGAATCCCTCTCCTAATCTGTTTCTTTCTCGCTGGTCCTGCCCACCTGCGCTCCAAGGTCGGTGTCCGTGGCTCTATCATCAAGTCGGGCCTGCCCCTCTACAGAGGGAAAACCGTCGGTGGACGACTTTTTGATAATGTTCTTGGGCATGTCTTGCGCATTTTTGGGATCGTTTTTCAACTTTTCGTCCAACAGCCCCGTGTAGGGGGACAGGCCCGACCTGACTCTATCAGGTTTCCACGGCGTGGCCGTGGCCGGACGGCGCCCGCCGTGCACCAGGCCAGTCCGAGGCACGCTTCCGAGCGTGCCAGCGCGTGCGGTCGGCGTGCACCGGCGCTGGCAAGATCTGTACCCATGTTCAAGTCAGAAGCAACGATAAAAGGGGGGGATAGGCATAGGGGGGATGCGTCGACCCCCAATCGCCCATTGATCGCCGATAGGGACCCGATAGCCCCACCCCGTCCAGAAAGGTGCGAATTCGCTATCGGGGGCCCATCGCCGATCTATCGGCGATGTATCGCCGATTCCATGTCGATGCATCCCCCCCTGTGCCTGTCCCCCCCTATCGTTGCCCCTCATCATGGCGTCTCGGATTTTTCATGGGATGTCTAACAGCCGAGGCGCAGTGGGCATGGACAGGAGGTTGGCTTTGCCAGAGGTCAAGGTTTCATCCACATCCACTGCGTCTCGGGCTTCCAGGGAGGGGCGTCCGAAAGTCCGAGGCGCAGTGGGTATAATGCGACCAATCGATGAAGAAATGCCCAGCGGGCATCGCAGCGCCCGCTGGGAAGTGGACGATTCGAATACATTCCTGGTTCGTTGCCGTCGTCGTCGCCGTCGTCGCCCTCGATGCCGCCGGGCCGCAGCCAGCGACCTAGACGAGACACTTGTTTTCAAATGTTAGCCAGTGTTGGCCCCGAACAGTGAGTTATTGCATCGTGGAGGTGGAAGCTCTGCGGTGGTGTAAGCCATGAGGTGCGAGCTCTGGAGGTCACATCCAGGCGCTGCATTCTGTGTGGTGTGAGCCGAAGGCGAAAGCTATGCGGTGTGAGCCGCGTGGTGTAGTATATCTAGTGTGCGCTGTGCGTCGTCAAACTATGTGGTGTAGGCTACGTCGTGTGCGCTGTGTCGGAGGAGGAGGAGGCGGAGGAGGCAGAGGAAGAGGAGGAGGAGGAGGAGGAGGAGGAGGAGGAGGTGGAGGAGGAGGAGGAGGAGGAGGAGGATCAGGAGGAGGAGGAGGAGGAGGACGAGGAGGAGGAGGACGAGGAGGAGGAGGAGGAGGAGGAGAACGAGGAGGAGGCGGAGGAGGAGGAGAAGGAGGAGGAGGAGGAGGATGCTCAGCGCACCAGGGCGCCCACGAACGCCCAGGAGGCGGCAGCGTGGCGCGACCTCCGCGGGCCCTCCCGGCGCGCCGAGCCACCCGCGAGCGCCCACGGGGCGGCCACGGGGCGGCAGCGGGGCAAGGCCTCGGCGGACCCACCCGGCGCACGGGCCACCCACGAGACCGCTAAGGAGCGAAAACTCTGAGAAGAACAGCACTTTTTTTGATCTGCGGCGCGAGAGCGAACCTCTTCCGCTGAAAGCTGAGCGGGACGCGCACAGCTTGAATTGGCAGAGAAAGGGCGGGAGAAGGCGGGGCCTCACGGCGGCCGGGAGAGGGCGAAGCCCTGGGATCAGGCGGTGCCGAAGATGATGTGCAGGAAAAGTTACACCTTGGACAGGAACCCGGAGGCGAAGTACCGGGAGGGAAGAACAGTACACACACACGAGCATACATCGGGGCTGGACAGACCCCCCACCTTGACACGTCGACTGGTGATCTGTCCTTTTTCGGTTCTCGAGGGGGCGCCGCGGCCGTCCTTTTCCAGGCTTGCGCCCGCCAGGCTTGGGCCCGAGATCGTTGTCACTGAATCAGGTTTTACACGTTTTACTGAAGGGGGTTTTGTCCATCCCCGGATACGCTTTTGGCGCTCCGCGCAAATTTCCTGGATCCGCGCTGGGCCCCCCTGGCAGCGCCTCCGGCGCCGACCCTGGCGCGCTCCGCGCGCTAGGGAGGGGGGCTCAGCGCGGATCCGAGACATCCGTGCGCGGAGCGCCCAAAAAGTGAATGTTTGTGCCGTTTCTCTTCCTCCTGACGTGGCAGCACCTCGGCGGAATCATTCGGCGGCGAGCGAGGGGGGGAAGCGAGAAGGAGCGGGCCTTCGCAGAAGGCGCGGCAAGACTCTGCGGAAGCCCTCGCGCCTGCTGAGAAGTGTTTTCTCTGTCTTGGGGAAGGCTCAGAAGACTTCTCAGAAGGCTGGGGGACTTTCGAGCCTTCCGAGAAGGCCCGCCCCTTCTCACTTCCCCCTTCGCTCGCCGCCTAATCATCCCATTCCTTGGGCACGGGAGCAAGAATCCCTGGTTCAGTGCAGGCACTGTCTGTGGAACGGCGCTTCTCTTGAACCGCCCCTGCCCCACTCATCTTCGAGTCGTCTGGTGCCGTCTGGTGGCGTCATGGGCGTAAAATCTTGCCCGCGCGTCAAGCTGTTCTGGGGTGCATGGTGGACGCCGTCTGGAGAGGCGGAGGGCGTGGCCTCGGAGAGCCCCTTCCCCTACGGCCAGGAGCAGCAGGCGTCCTTCGTCCTGCGGCGCAGGGAGATTCGGGTGCTCATCTGCGGCTGGAGACTGAGGGGCAGCATGAGGGGGGGGGTAGGCGGTTCGAGCTCCGATGCTTTCGGGCGTTTCCGTCGGTTCTCGGCGGCTTTCCCGCCTCGGGGTGCTCTCCAGCAGCTGTGCCGCATCCGATGGGGCGGCGGGGGGCGCTGGGAGCGTCCCGAACGGCCACCAGAGAGCCGAGTTCGGACCCGAAAGCCAGACGACGAGGACCGCTTGGGGGGGACTATGCCCAGGGGGGATGCATCGACCCCGAAGCGCTCGTGGATCGCCGATGTGGGGCCCAATAGCACACCCCGTCCAGGAGCGTGCGGTTTCGCTATCGGGGGCCCAGCGCCGATCCATCGGCGACGTGTCGCCGATGCCGATTCCAGGTCGATGTTCTCCTCCCCATGAGTCGGTCCTCTCCGAACGTTCCCCCGTAGGAGATCTGGCTGGGATCAGCCAGCGGCCCTGCTCAGCATTCTGGACGACATGGCCCACGACATTCGATCGAGCATGCGCCTGAATTTCGTGTGCAAGGTGAGACGGGAGGACTTCGCAGCATGCATGGAGGCTGCCCAGGAGAAGTCTGGTGGAAGGGTGAGGTCCGCAGATGAATCGGAAAATGGGGTTCCCGCTTGGATGTTCGACGGTAAGTGCCAAATCACGCATACATATTGGGAGGACGATGTTTTCGATGATCTGGACGAGGTAGTCAAGAAGACCGAGTATGACAAGGCGATCATCATTCCGCCCCCTACGAGGGAGGACGCGTTATCCAAGGACACGTGGGTCATGTGCGTCATGTTGATGCTTCGGCACCTTCAGAAGGAGCATGGTCAGAAGCCCATGCATGTAATTGCCGAGAACGCGCTAGACGAGTCTTCCAAGCTGTCAGTAGCGCCCCTAGGTTCCGACACTAGCGACGGGCCGCATCACTACCCAGACTTCGTCAACACGATGGCAATCAAGGCCAGGGCTCTATGTCAGGTGCTTGCGTACCCCGAGATGGGCACCGTGCTCAACGACTTGTACTCTAAAGCGAGCGGCTCCCCCGTCCTGATGCTGGTGGACGTGGGGCAACTTCGCCTCGTAGGCCTGGAGCTGACGTTCAGGCAAACTGTGCAGCGCATGTCGGTGCTGCAGCCCAAAGACGGCCTCGCTAACGACGTTGTCCTGGGCATACGGACAGCGGCTGGCCTCTTGATGATGCCCCCGAATGCATCTGACGTGCACCGTTATGCACGTGGCGACGCGCTGATCATCATCACGCGCCGCGCTACATCGCCACACAAGTATGAAGAGCTGATCAAATCGGAGCGCGCGAGCTTGTGTGATCTGCCGGTCCAGTTTGATGATGTAGAGGAGTTCGATGATGTCACAAGTGCTTGACGGATAACCAGCCCGCTTTTGCAGCGGCAGGTTACCCTAGGTCTTGGAGCTTTCATCTCCTTCCTCTGGCCCTCTGCCTGACATTGGTTTTTGTTCTTACCTCTGTCTCTCTGTGTCTATATCTCCGTCGGCATCAGAGGCCATAGTCTCACCCACCTGGTCTTACCGAGGCCGGGACACGCGTCCGCAACGGTGGTCAGTATATGTAGTTTTGGTCAGCCTGCTCCTTTTTTCACCGAGCGCGTTCCACTACGCGCAAAGCGCCTATTCGCAAACGTCAGGAGGAAACGCACATGCTCGCCTTGTTGTGGTGCATCGTCGATTTCCCGCGACGGATCCAGGCCATTTGCGAGTAGTTTCTTAGCGAGTAGTGGGACGCGCTCGTCTATTTGTTTTGCCCTCGGGGTACGGTGGGGGCGTTCGTGAAGGAATGTGCCCGGGAGGCTTCAGACCCTGGAGGCGTCCTTACCCGAAGGGAGCGGCGATGACATCCATGGGCCAAGCCTCGATTGGAGTTCCACTAGCTTCCAGACCCTGGGATCCTTGTCTAAGGATTCCTTACCCAATGCCCTCACCGTATGAGTGCGAGTTGTTTGGGCGTCCGTTCAGGGTGGGTGGGTGTGTGGGGGTGGGCCTCCGACGATCCTCGCATGCCCTTGGTGGCCTCGGCGGTCCCTCCCGAGACCTCCAGTACCCATCGGTCGTTGAAAGCAGGCATTTTTGGATTCCCAGAGTAGATTCCAATCTGCTTTCAGCGCCTTCCTACTCCAATGATCGAGTGGCTTCACCTTCTCCGTCCTCCTTGGGGGCGGACGGAACCCAATCTACTTTCAATGCTTTCCTACTTCATGTTTCTACCTACTTCTTCCGACTGGTGGGTAACCTCCTCCTCTTGATTTATATTATGCCCTGTAGTCGGCACTGCCAACACGGCGTGGTGACACTAGACGATCGTCATTTCAGGGCATCGTGCTTCAGCGAGGTTCGCCGAAGTGCCACTTCCCCTTGATCGTTTGCCCTTCGTGATTCGCACTGCCAACACAGCCTGGTGATCTTGGGCGACTGTCATTCGAGGGCATCGTGCTCCAGCGAAGCTTTGGGCATTACTCATCATGTTTATGCCCTCCGTGACCACCACGGCCAACACGGCTTGGCGATCCTGGGCGATGTTCGTTGGCGTCGTACTTCAGCACCAGGGCACGGCGTTTGTTTTTTCGATGGTGTCGTGCTTCAGCAACGCTGGCAGTATTGTGTTAGTCGCATCACTTGAGACTAGCATGGCACTTCTTTTGCCCTCTTGGGTTGCGGGATGGAAGGGGGGGCGGGAGGGAGGGGGGCGGCACCGTCAAGCTCTGCGCCAGCGCCGTCTGGGAGGTGCCCACGTATAGCCTTTCCCAGACCGCGCCAGCGCGAAACGTGACGCTACCTGGGGGGGGGGGGGGTAGGGGGGGGGAGGGCCCAGGTAATGGGCGGTCGCTCGAATGGTTCTTACTTAGCTCGTAGCTGCGTGCCAGCCTGCCTCCTACCTAGTCATCCCTGTGCCACTTTCGAGGGCTGCTGGGGGCTGCGATCTGTGAAACTGTCGCCACTTTCGAGGGCTGCTGGGGGGCCCAGCACAGTGGGTACTCACCGCGGACTCAAATGGGACCTCGCCATCCCTGGGGGGCTGCGATCTGTGAAACTGTCGCCACTTTCGAGGGCTGCTGTGGGGGCCCAGCACAGTGGGTACTCACCGCAGACTCAAATTAGACCTCGCCATCCCTGGGGGGCTGCGTTCTGTGAAACTGTCGCCACTTTCGAGGGCTGCTGAGGGGCCCAGCACAGTGGGTATTCACCGCAGACTCAAATTAGACCTCGCCATCCCTGGGGGGCTGCGATCTGTGAAACTGTCGCCACTTTCGAGGCCTGCTGGGGGGCCCAGCACAGTGACGCCACACGCAGATTCAAATTAGACCTCGCCATCCCTGGGGGGCTGCGATCTGTGAAACTGTCGCCACTTTCGAGGCCTGCTGGGGGGCCCAGCACAGTGGGTACTCACCGCAGACTCAAATGGGACCTCGCCATCCCTGGGGGGCTGCGATCTGTGAAACTGTCGCCACTTTCGAGGCCTGCTGGGGGGCCCAGCACAGTGGGTACACACGGCGGATTCAAATGGGACCTCGCCATCCCTGGGGGGCTGCGATCTGTGAAACTGTCGCCACTTTCGAGGCCTGCTGGGGGCCAGCACAGCGGGTACCACCGCAGCTCAAATTAGACCTCGCCATCCCTGGGAGGGCTGCGATCTGTGAAACTGTCCCTGCATCTTTCGAGGAGCTGCTGAGGGGCCCAGCACAGTGGGTACTCAACCGCAGACTCAAATTAAAACCTCGCCACCCTGGGGGGTGCGATCTGTGAAATGTCGCCACTTTCGAGGGCTGCTGAGGCTCACAGTGGGTACCCACCGCAGGCTCAAATTAGACCTCGCCATCCTTGGAGGGGGGGGGGGGGCTGCGATCTGTGAAACTGTCGCCACTTTCGAGGGCTGCTGAGGGACCCAGCACAGTGGGTACCCACCGCAGATTCAAATTAGACCCCGCCAACCTTGGGGGGCTGCGATCTGTGAATCTGTCGCCACTTTCGAGGGCTGCTGATGGGGCCCAGCACAGTTGGTACTCACCGCAGTCTCGGATTAGACCTCGCCATCCCTGGGGGGGTACGATCTGTAAAACTGTCGCCACTTTCGAGGGCTGCTGAGGGGTCCAGCACACTGGGTACTCACCGCAGACTCAGATTAGACCTCGCCATCCCTGGGGGGGGGCTGCGATCTGTGAACCTGTCGTCACTTTCGAGGGCTGCTGAGGGGCACAGCACAGAAGGTACCCACCGCAGACTCAGGTTAGACCTCGCCATCCCTGGGGGGCTGCGATCTGTGAATCTGTCGTTACTTTCGAGGGCTGCTGAGGGGCACAGCACAGTGGGTACTTACCGCAGACTCAGATTAGACCTCGCAATCCTTGGGGGGCTGCGATCTGTGAAACTGTCGCCACTTTCGAGGGCTGCTGAGGGACCCAGCACAGTTGGTACTCACCGCAGACTCAGGTTAGACCTCGCCACCCTTGGGGGGCTGTGATCTATGAAACCGTCGTTACTTTCGAGGGCTGCTGAGGGGCCCAGCACAGTGGGTACTTACCGCAGACTCAGATTAGACCTCGCAATCCCTGGGGGGCTGCGATCTGTGAAACTGTCGTCACTTTCGAGGGCTGCTGGGGGGCCCAGCGCAGTGGGCTTCCCGCACGTCTTTCTCCTGCTCTTCGTTCCCGACTCCCCATGTCCTCTTCGAGCCTGTAGTTGTCGCCCCTCGTTCTTGTATGGTTCTCCTGCGCATCATGCCATAGGCGCGTGTCCCAAGTAACTTACATATCAAACAACGGATCCTGCAATTTGAGTGTCCATGCAAGTTTCGGCCACCTCCTCGTTTCCCATGATACAAATGGGTTGGGTACGTCACAGGGTATTCCCAACCATCCTGTGGTGTTGGGTCCTCGTTTTGAAAAGACGTCGTCCCGCGTTCTCCTCCTCCTCCTCCTCCTCCTCCTCCTCCTCATCTCCTTTCCTCCTCCTTCTCCTCCTCCCTCCTCCCTGCGTTTCACCCACCCAGTACAGCGTTTCGTGGCCACATAGGGAGCTCCACCGAAGGCGCCAATGGCAGGGTTCGCATTGCGGCCTCGGGCTAGTTCGGCACACCCCTCACGAGGATCGTGGCCCCATAGGAGCTCCACCGAAGGCTCCAGTGGCAAAGTTCGCATGGCGGCCTCGGGCCATTTCGGCACACCCCTCACGAGGATCGTGGGCCCATAGGAGCTCCACCGAAGGCGCCAGAAGCAAAGTTCGCATGGCGGCCTCGGGCCATTTCGGCACACCCCTCACGAGGATCGTGGCCCCATAGCTCCACCGAAGGCGCCAGTGGCAAAGTTCGCATGGCGGCCTCGGGCCATTTCGGCACACCCCTCACGAGGATCGTGGCCCCATGGGAGCTCCACCGAAGGCGCCAGTGGCAAAGTTCGCATGGCTGCCTCGGGCCATGTCGGCACACCCCTCACGAGGATCGTGGCTCCATAGGAGCTCCACCGAAGGCGCCAGTGGCAAAGTTCGCATGGCGGCCTCGGGCCATTTCGGCACACCCCTCACGAGGATCGTGGCCCCATAGGAGCTCCACCGAAGGCGCCAGTGGCAAAGTTCGCATGGCGGCCTCGGGCCATTTCGGCACACCCCTCACGAGGATCGTGGCCCCATAGGACTCCACCGAAGCCCAGTGGCAAAGTTCGCGACGGGCCTTCGGCGACGAGGATCGTGGCCCATAGGAGCTCCACCGAAGGCGCCAGTGGCAAAGTTCGCATGGCGGCCTCGGGCCATGTCGGCACACCCCTCACGAGGATCGTGGCCCCATAGGAGCTCCACCGAAGGCGCCAGTGGCAAAGTTCGCATGGCGGCCTCGGGCCATTTTGGCACACGCCTCACGAGGATCGTGGCCCCATAGGAGCTCCACCGAAGGCGCCAGTGGCAAAATTCGCATGGCGGCCTCGGGCCATGTCGGCACACCCCTCACGAGGATCGTGGCCCCATAGGAGCTCCACCGAAGGCGCCAGTAGCAAAGTTCGCATGGCGGCCTCGGGCCATTTCGGCATACCCCTCACGAGGATAGTGGCCCCATAGGAGCTCCACCGAAGGCGCCAGTGGCAAAGTTCGCATGGCGGCCTCGGGCCATGTCGGCACACCCCTCACGAGGATCGTGGCCCCATATGAGCTCCACCGAAGGCGCCAGTAGCAAAGTTCGCATGGCGGCCTCGGGCCAGTTCGGCATACCCCTCACGAGGATCGTGGCTCCATATGAGCTCCACCGAAGGCGCCAGTGGCAAAGTTCGCATGGCGGCCTTGGGCCATGTCGGCACACCCCTCACGAGGATCGTGGTCCCAGAGGAGCTCCACCGAAGGCGCCAGTAGCAAAGTTCGCATGGCCTCGGGCCATTTCGGCACACCCCTCACGAGGATCGTGGCTCCATAGTTGTGCTGCTTCAACAACCGCGCCTGGGCGTCGTACTCCGCCTTGTCGACGTGCAACGCCACCTCCTCCCTCATGGCTCCCAAAGCCCTCTCCTGCTTCTGCTCCTCGGTCACGGGGACGCCGTCCTTGTCGTCGTCGGCGCCCGCGAAGACGGCCACGAACGTGTTCCTGAGCATGCCGGGCTCCGGCGGGAAGCCGTGGCCGCATAGGGAGCGCGGGCGAAGATGGTGTTCACAATTGCGGTATTACAAGTGCATATGGTTGGGTCCTTCGCCAGGTTTTTTTTTTTTTTTTTTTTTTCGTCCAAAATCCCACGCTACGGTCGGGAACTTGTGCTCAGCGTGGTGCGATGGCGATTCTGGCGACACGCTCTGCCCCGTGAGCGGATAGCGTGTCGCCCCGCTCCGTGCGGCGGGTGGATGGGAAAAGCTCGAGACGCTGGTGCCTGGGGACTGACATGGTCAGCGTGCCGCGCGGGACAGCGACCCCACAGCCGCCCTCTCCTCGCCCCTCGGGCTCTGCTCAAGGGAGGAACAACAGCCAGCCAGACCCGATGATTGGC